TCATTGTTCACTTTAGCCTAACCAACAGTAGTTCCGTTATCGTGATTGGTAAGAAGAACGTTTTTACTCAACACGTCAACGAAAGTAGATAACAAGGTTAACTGATGAATATACTGCAGTGTTTGTAAATTTGATCTTGCCAAAAAAATCAGCGTCCCTCTGTAGGCATTTATGATACTTTGGAAGAAATTTTTATCATGCTTGTCACAGAGCCATATCATTCAACAACCGGTTTAAAGTCAAGGGTAGGACAGTTTAACTCCACTAAGTAAATGAAATTTTGAGTGGAGTACATTATGAAATGTACAAATTATTCGAAACTTTCCGATCGATGCTGTTCGTGTAAACTAAACTGTTTTAGGCTATCGACTTGATGTCCAATAAGAATCAAGTTGCAAGCTAATTTATATGTAATTACATACCACCACAAAAGTAAAGAAACAGGCTGGTAAATGAAAAGTAAGAGATGGCATCATTCGTAGTTGTTAAGTTAGGACACTGAAAAATTAAGATATCGGAAGAAAGAAAAGTACAGAAATGAGGTAGAAACAAGAAAAATTTCGCATCTTAAAAGAAACGAATGTTCTTAAGTATTTACGTGAAGATTAAAGACTTAATGCAAGAAAATACACAAACTAAATAGACTTAACTTTGATTTATGGGCATTATTCAGTAGGTTCTCCATCGATGCTTCATTCAGTAGCACGAAATGTAATGTCTGAAGAGGTGAAATGACTGCTATTTTCATTCTCAATATCACATTGATGACCGATTCAGAAAGTGGATACGTTGTGAAAGCAGTGACTCCGAATTCCAGTTTCACATACTAATGGACACTAGGATCAATTCCGTCCTTTACAACTCATCGGATGTGATTACTCCTTAAGAGACGATTGAAGAAAAGTTGTGAATCATTAATTCATATTATTAATAATGAAAATTTTTATGTCATAAACGCCAATAAGGTTTGAATTTTGATTGATAGAATTCTGATTAGGGCATGAAGTTTGTCATATGAATAAATCTCCAATTCATTTGACGCGTAGTCATGAATGGACTGACATGAAAATAATTTTAAGTAATCCAGGGTACTACTTTAGTGAATGAGAACACAGGTGGGGCAACCGGATTGTATTTAACGAAAATTACAGAGTTACTCAGTAAAATCGGAAAACCATATCGTAAATTGTTCATTTGCAAAATATCAGTTCATCATAACGAACTGGACTGTTCCTGTTGCAAAACATCAATCCATTGTCACTATTCATGCGTTTCATACAAATTCTATTGTTTTCTAACTCTTGCTTTCTTGAATTTCCCCCATATTATGCTGCCGGACATTACGTTGACACTCACGTCATATACTACTTATAAGTAGCTCACACCACACGACACTAATCATCATTACTCTAAATTAGTCGGAGGTTTAGTAATTTTGTTTTGTGATTTTAAAATGTAGATGATTTCGAGGGTGAATAGGTGATAGGTGAAAATATGAAAACAACAAAAATAGATAAGAATTATCTAAACTAAGTATTCAAAAATGCGCTTGCTTACCACCGGACCACAAACCATTAGGGTGCGAGGCCACAGTATCTTCATAAATGTGGACTTTGAAAGGGTTTTCCATCGAGACAAATGATGGGTTAGTGCCCTCTGATCTATACTTTTGCTCTGACAACTGTAATCCTGTTATAATAACTAACATCCAATTCATCAACTTATTCGAAATGCCATCGCAATTAGAGATACTCATATGAATTTTGTTAATCCTGTTGGTAAAATCAGACAGAAATGAACAATGACCACGATCATAAAATGATCGACGGTAAGCAACAAAACTAAATAAGGTCACTCGTAACAAACGCATTATTATCTATGTTCACTGAATCTTTCAAAGTCTTATCATAAAACAGAATGAATCTTGTCTGAGAAATACCTCAGTGATATTTCTTATCTACACACTGACCATTTGTGTATTATCACGCACATTGAAATCATGCACCTTGCTTGCTAATGAGTGAGATTTTAAATTGGAACATTTTTGCCGTCACTCAAAATCACTCACGATCACTTGATAAGAAAAAACAAATAACGAGCAAATCGATCCAGAGTGGTCTGAGAAAGTATCGAATGATTTCAGGTACATGATTAATTAGATTGATAAGAGATGTTTGGCGTTGTTCGTCAGAGTTTATTTCCAACAATCGTTCAGTCATTCACTCTTCTCCTGAAAATTAGAAACATACATTAGTGACCTGATTATTTCATTACAACTATCGATAAAGTTTGTTATATCACTGATTAATAGTATACTACTCATGAGTGGATATTTGCTGTGCACAACTGAATCTGCAGTTGTTGGTCAAAACGAATTGTCTTCATTAAGAATCCTGGTCCTGTACAGAGTCAAAGGCATGTGTAGGTGAGAAGACAGACTGACATAGATCCTGGAATAGATATACATTGTCAAAGCTGTCATAACACATCTGCATTACGAGATGAAAATAACAAGGTAGACCGAGTTAATTTAGCAGCAATGATACAAACAACTATGAAACCTTGATAATGCAGTCTGAAAAGATAGAGTTAGAAGGCATGTTTGAGGGAATACTGTGATTCAAGATTGAGAGGAAGATAAAGAGTGGACTGGCACCACTGTAAACGACTGCGAGACATGTCATGTCAAGTATCTAACTACTGACCACAGTTATCACGCGGACCTCAACCTGGTAGTCTGCATCTCCCGGCATACCTCAGACTCAGTATCATGAATGTATTCTTTTGATAACTATCAAATGTCTCTAACAGTAAAAATTCACTCTAACATAGTAAATATATTGAATTATCTTGCTGCTTTTTTTGTAAAATAAATTTAAGCAGCTTCCGAAATTTATACTGATACGTTAGAATGCGTCGGTATCCTTCAGATTGTGATTTTTCAAATTATTAGAGTGTAAATTGGATAGGTGCAGATATCCCCAAAATATATTTGTATAAGTTAATGTATCCAGTATTGATTGGATGAAAATATAGAAATATTGATAAGAAAACTATTCATAAAACAGTATATCAGTTGAATTCAACTAGATTGCATTATGCTGATAATAATGCCATCTGGATATGCAATAATACACGTTAATTGAACAGTGCATACTCTTAGCAAATCGTCTTCTCTTCACAAAACAACATGTCATTATTAACGCTAATTTTGTTAAATTCAATATAAAACACTATGATGAGGTTATCACATTTTCTGACCATGACATTGATAATTAATTGTATGACAGTAGTAAATTTTATTTTCATATGAAAAATTGTTGATTGGTGATTAGTGAATATTACTCGATGAGTGAAATTCGCTCAACATCTAATCGATCAGTAATCGATGCAAACAATTGTAAATCTATAAAGATCAGTATGTGTACTAGAATGTATATTTGATGTGAAACCAACTCATATCTGAATATCTTTTCATCTCAGTCACATTGATTTGTTTTGTGTTATTTATTACTACTCTGGAAATGTGAAATTTTTCTAATTTGACTGTTATTCTATTTAATCTAGATACGATCCAATTCCGAAATAGTTGTTTTTCATGCTTCTGCCTGAGTTTTTGTGAATTTTATATAAACGCGAAAATCTCTTATGAAATTGTAAATCTGTGAATATCGATTACCAGAGATTCACTGGTAATTTTTTTATTACAACACTCCTACTGGATTTGTATTTATGACTTTCCGTTCTCATCCAGTTATTGACAAAGTACAATCCGAATCAGATTTACACCCAATCTCATTCTAAAAGTATACTTCCTTGGTGCATTGTTCTCATGAATACAGGGATTCAAATTTAACGCGTGAATTTTTTTTTATCAATCCCTAAATATTCTACATTGAACAAATATAACATCATTTATTTAAAATTTCACAATTCTGAAATCACATAGAACTCGTATACAATTTGAATTGTTATATTTACATATATCTATGCTCACATTTTGTATGTTGATTCGACAAGTTACTACTACATTCATATTTCAAAACCACTCATTCTTATCTGAATAAAAGTACCGATGATATTTTTTGGGGCACAGTTGATGATTTCAAATGTGTAAAAACTCAAACCTCCAAAACTCTGCCCCAAAATACCGTGACAGTGCTCACTAGTGACTAGCTTCGTGAGGAAATTCTCGGAGTTCTAGTTGAGAAGACGTGACCAGTGGAGTTCAGCCCTGTCGGGTGTAGGCAGTAACTACCAAAGACCAATCGGTGAGGTCGCGTAAAATCCGTAGATCAATCAGAGTTAGATATTAACACCGTTGGATGCCGGCCCACTGGTCCCATGGTAAGGCATTCGCCTACAATGCCAAAGGTCCCGTGTTCGAATCCTGCGAGGAGCAGGAGTCGTGGATGCGCACTGCTGAGGAGTCCCATACTAGGACGAAACGGCCGTCCAGTGCTTCCAGGTTTCTAATGGTGGTCTAACAATGATTGATTGATGATTTCAGATTTTTTTTAATTATGGCTAAATGCCTGTAGTTGTTATTAGTTGTTTAAAAGAATTTGTTTTTCAAAATTATGTGTAATTCGTTTCATGACACATTTTTTTACACATCATCCATTCCCAAATGAATGTTGTTTTTTTAAAAAAATCAGACTGATCAAATACACGCCTACACACAATGCAATAATATATATATATATATATATATATATATATATATATATAATATTTACTTCTATTAATTAACGACTATCGTAATTGGTCATTCAAAACTAAAAGTGATCATATTTTAATGATTACAATCAATCATTGATTACAAATTGATTCTGTACTTTTGATTGGTACTATCAAGTTTATTTAAGTTATGATGAATAGAACAGTAAACTGAGAAAAAAAAAACAATATTCAAAATGTCAGATTCCGGTTTTGTAGAAAAATTTAAAACAGATCTAATCAATGCTGCTGTATTGGCTAAACAAAATGCTTATTGTCCAATGAGTAATTTTTCAGTTGGTGCATCAGTACTGACAATCGATGGGAAAATATTCAATGGATGTAATGTGGAAAATGTTTGTTTACCTTGTGGTTGGTGTGCAGAAATCAGTGCAATCGCGACAGCAGTATCGAATGGTTATAAAAAAATAATTGGTTGTTGTGTTTCAACCAATTCGTTAAGTCATGTAGCACCATGTGGACGGTGTAGACAAGTGATAGCGGAATTTTCCAGTGATTATTGTATAGTTTATCTTGTGAATAAACTTAATGAAGTGAAAACAATTAAAAAATTTAGTGAATTATTACCGGCTGCATTCAATAATGAAGAATTGGAAAGTGGACAGAAATGAATTGATTGTAAAATGAAATTGTTTACAGATTTTTAATAAACTTTTGTAAACTAATTAACTTTTGTGTCTTATTTGATCTTAAAGAATAAATTACTTTGAAAAGATTCTGAGATTTTTTATTCATTTTCTCCACCATTTGTAAATTTGAATGCAGTAACAATGATGAACATAAAATCTTTATATGAAAGAAGACATACTGATTTAATTTGGGTTTGATATGTAGATTTGTGGTGCGAGCTACTTATAAGTAGTATATGACGTGAGTGTCAACGTAATGTCCGGCAGCAGAAGATGGGGGAAGATCAAGAAAGGAAGAGTTAGAACACAATGGAATTTGTATGAAACGCATGAATAGTGACAATGGATTGATGTTTTGCAACAGGAACAGTCCAGTTCCATAGGATGAACTGATATTTTGCAAATTAACGATTTACGATATGGTTTTCCGATTTTACTGAGTAACTCTGTAATTTTCGTTAAATACAATTCGGTTGCCCCACCTGTGTTCTCGTTCACTACAGATTAGATAAATAATAGACAATGATTTCAGCAAAATTTTGAAAAAATAGGTTCCAACGATTGTTTACTTACGGGTTGAATACATGAATAGTTTGTGAGAGGAAAATGAGAACAGCACGGAAACAGAATGCTTCAACTAGTTGAATAACCCTGAGATAAGAAAAAATACTCATTTAAAAATCCAGTTCATATGATTCAGCTATGCTCATCATCTTTATATTCATGCTTCAAGATTCTTTATTACGTGCATGCATTTTCCAAGATAAATGTTATAATTTCTTTCAGGCAAACAAATCTGAAGAATAATATCAGCTCATGTTTTCGAATTAAATGTAAATGGCCTAAATATAGATCCGTACTTACTTACTTACTTACGCCTGTTACCCTCAATGGAGCATAAGCCATACTTTCACATCATGTAGTCAGTGAAGCTGAGTTCGAAGCGACATGAAGAGTAACACAAGTCAAAATAATCGAGTTGCTTGCAAATATCTTGAAACCAAGAGAGTAGATTTGTAGTGAATGAGAACACAGGTGGAGGCAACCGAATTGTATTTAACGAAAATTACAGAGTTACTCAGTAAAATCGGAAAACCATATCGTAAATCGTTCATTTGCAAAAGATCAGTGCATCCTATGGAACTGGACTGTTCCTGTTGCCAAACATCAATCCATTGTCACTCTTCATGCGTTTCATACAAATTCCATTGTTTTCTGACTCTTCCTTTCTTGATCTTCCCCCCATATTATGCTACCAGACTTTACGTTGACACTCACGCTATATACTACTTATAAGTAGTTCGCACCACAGCACCGCACCCGTCCCCCCTTTTAATAAGCTGTCGTTGCAGTCTTTCTGATCTCCGTACAGCCGTCTTCTTCATCAGTGTTTGTGGCTCGCCCTCTTGGCGCACTTGGAACCACCTTTGGAGTTCACTGGCATTCACGCGTTTCTGTTTGTTTCCTTTCTGGATCGTATACACTGCGCCGCGCCTCTCGGTGACGACGTACGGTCCCTCCCACTTCGGGATCAGCTTACCTGACCCTGGCCCTCTTCCTGTGGTATATTTCCGTTCTCTACACTTCACCTGATCTCCCACTTCAAACAATCTCCAGTTCTTTCTCTCCTGTTCTGACTTTTCCATGTCTGATGTTTGTTTCTCTCTCACATTCCTGATTGCTTGTCTCCGCTCTGTTCTCAATCTTGTTGTATTCCATCTCTGTTGTTGCGGCCAGGTTTTATCATGCGTTGGTAGTCTCGGCCGTCTGCCGTACATCAGCTGGAACGGTGACTTCCTGGTTGTTCCCTGTGCCGAGGCACGATGTGCCAGCAAGATTAATGGTAATTCTTTCTCCCAGTCACCCCCTTTAGATGCTAGCCATTCCTTTAGCGTTCGGTTATTCCTTTCCGTTAACCCATTCGTCTGTGGATGATACGGCGTTGTTCGTACTCTCTTGATACCTAACTGCTTTAGACGGGACTTGAACTCATCACTCTCGAAACAGGGACCTTGATCGGTTAATATTATCTTTGGTATCCCATGGTCCGCCACAATGTGCCGCATTACCGCTTCCGTCACCGTCCTTGCACGTTGGTCCGCCATCGGCACGGCATTTACCCATCGTGTGGCATGCTCAGTCATCACCAGCAGGTACTGGTTACCACTTGTCGTCTGCGGGAACGGTCCCATAACATCTACTGACCACAAATCACCAACTGCTGTTACTGGAATTGACTGCAATGGCGGTCGTATGCATCGATCTCCTTTCATTAGTTGACATCGCTGGCACGCTAATACATATCGTGCAACATCGTCTCTCATACCTGGCCAGTACGCACTTTGTCGCAGCAAATCAGTTGTCCGTGCAATACCTGTATGCGCTACCTGGTGACATTCACGAATCATCTCCTGGCGCAGATCTTTTGGGATTATTGCTACCCAATTCTCGTCATCATCCCGCCAGGTCAAGGCTCCGTATCCGTTCACTCTCAGTCTCTCCTTCTGCCTCAGCAACACTGTTAATTCTTTATCTGTTCTACTCTTGTCAACATCTTCTCCCTCTTTTATCACTCTGATTACCTCCCGAAGGTTAGGGTCGGCTTTCTGATGTCGGACGAGTTCTAGGGGGTCTCCCTCTAGGCCGTTAACTGCACACGCTATCTCTGGAAGTTCGGCTTCGGTGTCCGGTCTTGACAAATAATCTGCCATTACATTTTCCTCCCCTGGCACATGCCCGATGCTGAAATCATACTCCTGCAGACGTAGCATCCATCGAGCCAACTTCCCCCGAGGGTCTTTTGCTGTTTTCAACCATTGTAGGGGCTTATGATCCGTCTCGATGTGAAATCGTCTACCTAAAAGGTACGGTCTCCATTTCTCTACTGCCCACACGATTGCTAGGCATTCCTTCTCGATCGTTGAATACTTCTGTTCGGCGGGTGTGAGAACGCGACTTGCGTATTCCACCACTCTATCAGCCTGACTCAATACCGCACCTATACCATGATCGCTTGCATCTGTGGCCACTGTAAACAGTTTACCGGGTTCAGGCAGTCGCAGCGTCATCTGACGATCGTCTAGCATGTTTTTGATTCGGTTGAACGTTTGTTCAGCAGCCTCAGTCCATGTAAACTTGGTGTTGCTCAGCAACTTATATAAGGGCGCTGCTATTTCGTTGAAATTCTTGACAAACCGACTATAGAACGCCGCTCTTCCTAGGAACTGTCTCAACTTCCTTTTCGAATTAGGTACTGCAATATTTTTTATGGTAAGAATTTTCTCTGGTAATGGCTTTATTTCTCCGTTTCCCACTTTATGTCCCAACAATATGACGCTGTTTTTCGCTATCTGCGACTTTTCCTTATTAATTCGAAGCCCGAATTCGTCAATTCGCTTTAAGACCGCTTCCACATGCTTGACGTGATCTGTTTCCGTCAGGCTGTATACAACTACATCGTCGCCATATACCTCAACATTATCTAGATTCTTAAGCAGCAGCGTCATCAATCTTCTGAACGTGAACGGTGCACCAGCCAACCCGAACGGCATTCTTTTAAATTGATACTGCTTATCCCGTATAGTAAATGCTGTCTTGTTGCGATCGCTATCTTTTATAGGTAGTTGCCAATAACCTGACCGTAAATCCAGCACTGTAAACACCGTGGCATTCTGTAGTCGATCTAATGTTTCTACTACTGTTGGCATTGCGCACGGTTTCAGGTCTGTTATATTATTCAGTTCTCTAAAGTCGACGCAAAATCTATACTTTCCATTGGGTTTCTTTACCAAGAGTACCGGTGAGCTATACGGGCTGTCTGCTTCCTCAATTATACCTTCCTTCAACATTTCCTGGACCTGTCGATTTACCTCGGCCTCTAAATGCACTGGGACACGACGTGTTGTAAATATATTTACTCGGTCGTTCTTTATAGGAATTTCATGCTTTACTTTGTCACAAAATCCATACGGCTCCCCATCTCCAGTGAACAGTTTCGCATACTTTGCGCATAACTCGTTAACGTTAGGTTTCTTGGTCGAGACGTCCGTTGCCATCCTTATTTCAGCCACTTCGCTACTTTCATGTATTGGCAATGAACCGTACTTTGTGACCATTTTCCCGCTTCTCAAGTCAATTATTGCTTTTACCTCTCTTAGGAAATCTGCTCCTAATATCGGTCTCGATAAGCTTGTGGTTACCACGAACGGAAAATTTATCTCAGCTCCACTCATTTTTACAATACTGTTAGATACCCCCAACACCTCTAGCATATGCCCTCCTATGGTGTGGACAGCTAATGTACATGGTTTAATTGTCTTACATTGCTCTTTGCTTATTAACGATATAGCTGCCCCTGTATCAATCAAACACACTAACTCCCGTTCATTTATGTACACTCTGGCATAAATTGCCCCTCTATCTACTAGTGCAAGAACCTCCCAATTCCTAGGGTGGAAAGAAAACACGTTATAATGTTTAAAATATCGTCGTCGTCGTCTTCTTGGACAGTTTATCTTCCAATGTCCTGCCTCTCCACAAGCGTAACATTTATCGTTCCTTTTATGATTTACTCGTAATGCTGCTATCTCACGCTCTAACTCCTCAATCTTCTTCTCGAAAGTATTTATCTCCTGCTTTTCGCACCCGACCGGAGCTACTGTTCGTGTCATCAGCTGACGAGTCACCTTCGCCAGTTCACCGATGTCCATAGGTTGTGCTGCATTTACTAATCTCAGCTGCTGGGACACAGCGGCAGGCACACTCTCAATAAATTGCGACGCCAACAATTGTGCCTCCAACTCCTCATCGATATTCGGCAACGCACGGCGCAGCAACCTTTTGAGTTCCACAGCGAGCACCAGCGGGTCACCATCAGCCGACAGCCTCGCCAACCGGAACTTCCGCAACGCCTCCTCCCTGTCCACCGGGCTGTCGAACTCGGTCATCAGCCGCTCAACGACCGCCTCCCATGGCGTCTTCCC